TTTTGCCGTATAAATAACTTTCAAGTAATTTCTAGTTAAATTACTAAAATGGCTATTAAAAAATAAGGATTGATCGTAGAAGGGTGAAAATTTAGGATTGTATGTATTTTTGTATGTTGTATCATAAAAAAAATAAAAAGTAAAAATTTTGTCTAAAAATAAAAAAAAAATAGGGGTGGACCTTTAACATTTGGGAGGATGAAAAATAGATGTTGGCCGGTTCTCAGACCTACTCAATATGCACACAAAATTTCATGAGAATCGGTCAAGCCGTTTCGGAGGAGTATGGGAACGAAAATTGTGACACGAGAATTTTATATATAAGATGATTTAGATGATGATGTGATGTGATTGTCACAAATATGAATGCTAGGACTTCTGTACTTATTGAAGTTTTTCTTAACGCGCGTTAAAAAACGTTCAAACAGAAAAAAATGCATTTCTCTTTGAAAACAAGACGCTGTATGTTATGCCACTTTGTATTATTTCAGGATGAAATGTGGGAGAAAAAATGCCAGAAGATATTCCAATTCTGCCATCAGACTATCAGCATGTTAGTCAAAGCGGAACTAGCTGAGCTGCCGTTAAGGTATACAGTCACTAACCGTGGATTTCTGAAACCAAAGTTTTTGTATAAAACATATCGGCATCTTTGACAAAACTGAGATGACAGTATGTTTAAAACATACATTTTGGAGACAGAAACCCACGGTAAACAATCTTGATATTTACCAACACTAATATACTGCAGACTTCGGTGACTACAGGGTGAGACTCTTGACTTGTCTGCATTTCTTGGGTTCAAATCCACAATTTACATATGTACATTTATCAGACATTATTATGGTGAAGGAAAACATCGTGATGATGCACATATCTGAAAAGAAATTCAAAGATATGTGTGAAGTCAACCAGCACTGGACCAGCATTAACTATGGATTGGTCACCTCTAACCTAGGGTAGTCTCCGAGCCCTCAGTGGGGAAGTATATTGAGCCGATGATCTACGGCGATTGAACAATCTTGATACTTTCCAGGTTGTACCTGCAGGGTGCGCTGGCGGTGAGCGAGGCTGCGTTTGCGGGACACGAGACTATTGCATACGAGTTTCTCTCGCAAGCATTCTCGTTGTACGAGGACGAGGTGTCTGATAGTAAAGCCCAGCTTGCCGCCATCACGCTTATTATAGCTACCTTCGAACAGATTAATTGTTTCGGTAAGTACCAAATGGCTAGGAAAGGGAAGTGGATCTGAAGGAGAAGAAACGAATAGGAAGGGGAAATATCTTCTTTTTGTGCGTTCCCTTCTCCGTTGATTAAAGGTGGGAAACTTATCTGCAATTTCGGACGTGTATGGATGGCGGTAGTTTCGGTCTTTCCCTTGCTTGTTCGCCTTCGCATTAGACATATAAAAAGAACTTGTAACTACAATGGTCCACTTTAGTCCGATAGATGGCGTTATTACTAATATTAAGAAAACTTTGATAGATGGCGCTGTGTATGTGTATTGTAGGTTCAGAGAACGCGGAGCCGATGCGCACGCAATGCGCGCTCGCCGCCAGCAAACTGCTCAAGAAGCCCGACCAGAGCCGAGCGGTCGCGCTCTGCGCACATCTCTTCTGGAAAGGAGCTAAAGATGGCAAACAGGTAAACTTGAAAACTTATTACAGTGGTATTTCTTACTAATATTATAAATGCGAATGTTTAGATGGAAGGATGGATGGATGGTTGTTTGTTTGTAGGTAGTTCCGGAACGGCTCGATGGATCTTGACGAAATTTGCCATAATAACACCGCGCGGACGGAGTCGCGGGCGACAGCTAGTCATTCATAAACTCTCTTAAACCAATACCCTAGTCTTTACTAAAGTAATTATCATTTTTGTTTGTTTTTCTCTAGTGGGCATTAAATGATGCATCTCGAGCGCTCGATTGCTTGAAGAAAGCAGCACGTGTAGCACAGCAGTGTATGGACGGCGGCGTGCAGGCGCAGCTGCTGGCGGAGCTGCTGGGCCGGTACGCGCTGCTGAGAGAGCGCGGCAACGCCAGCCTCACCACAGCGCTCATTGACGCAGTAAGACATACGTCCGACTCGAAGGACCATGAGTTCAACTTTCCAACCACCAATATACTAGTTTATCGGCCTTTTACATTTGTACATGTGATTTGACAATGAAAATATAATTAAATCAGGTTCAAAAACTATTGCATTTATCCATGAAACTTTCCACCAGCTAAAGATTAATCAGATATCGTAAAAGTACGCAAAAAATACATTTTTTTTAATTCTCTTACCGTGGGTTTCTGGGACCACTATCTCCGTCAAATGACAGGAATGACAATATGTTTAACATAGATTTTGATCTCGGAAACGCATCTTATTAAGCAGAAAGATAACTTAAGAATCTCCTCCAGGTGATCCAGAAGATCAGAGAAGAGCTCGCCAACCTGGACCAGTCCGAGGAGGTGGAGCAGATCACGAAGCACTTCCACAACACGCTGCAGCACCTTAAGAACCGCATGGAATGCCCCGACCCTGATGGACTAGGTTACGAGGGTCTGGTTCTGTCCTAGGTCTAATTTTACCTTAACTAGAACGGCCCTAGATCTAATTCTATACTGGTACCATCCTAGGTCTAGCAATATAGCACTAATGTCTTTCTGAAACATACTATTTTTTATTTAAAAAAAAATGTAAAATTTATGAAATTAATTACTAATATTGTTTTGTAATTTTTTAATAATTGACAGTCTTGTAATATTTATGTTTTAAGAACACATTCCTATTCTAGTTTTGTCCTAGGTCGTAAAAATATGACCTAGGCCTGACTTATTTAGGTCATGAAAAATGTGACAAGTAAATAAAATAAATAATAGCTGTATAAATATATCTTATATAATTATTATGTACTTGTAATTTTATTATGTACAAGTTTCGCGATCTACCCCATATATTTGATTTTTTAGCGTAGTATCTCGTAAGATGATTCTTTAAATATGTTATTTATTAATTATAATTAAATATATAGTTAATTAAGATAATTATGTAATTGAGATTGTTTAGTATATAAATGAAGCAATATATTAAAATGTTTTATGTAATATTTTATGCATATTTATTTGAAAAAAAAAAAAACTTATATTGTTAAAACCTAATTTCTTCACACAGAATTCCATAATGTTATATATAAAAGAAAGTCGTGTTAGTTACACTATTTATAACTCAAGAACGGCTTTACCGATATGCCTGAAAATTGGTGAGGAGGTAGCTTAGAGCCAGGAGACGGACATAGGATGCTATTTATTCTTTTTTATTCGAACTTATGCCTTGAAGAGCTGCTTTTTATTTAACCCTTAAATGGACGATTTTTTTTTACGTTTTAAAAAAATATATTTGTGTAATAGACATGTATTACTGTCTAGGAAAAATGAGTAAAAAAATCTAGACATGAATTTACTATTTTTTTTAGAAATAAGAACTAGTTGTCAAAATTAACAAAAAAATAAAATAAAGATAATTTTATCTGTGATGTTTAGTATGTTGTTTAAAAACAACATTGTCCATTTAAGGGTTAACTTACTAATATAATAAATGCGAACGTTTAGATGGATGTGATATGGATGGATGGATGGATGGGCTACACTAATTAAGTTTTTTATATATTCACGCGGACGGAGTCGTGGGCGATAGCTAGTTTTATTATAAGGAGAAGAAAAATAATACGATTATTACCGTAGGTTTTCACTGCTTAAAATTCAAACCCTATTCTTTTGAAATTAAAAAAATAGACAACTTATAGGTTTTTTTTGGTAATGAAAAGGCAAGTTTTTAAATATATTTGTGTAAATATTCAATTTACTTTATAAAATACATTTATACTTATTCTAAAATATTTTGTTACCTTGAACGTTATTTTTATTGTTCAACATAATCTTCTCTTGTCGCTTCTTCTCTTCTTTGAATGCTTCCTTGTTCGCCTTCTTCTCTATTCTTCTTTCTTTCCTGTATTCTTTTAGAAGGCGTTTTCTTTCTTTCTTCTCTTCTGGTGATTCGTCTTTGGGCCTGAAAAATATTCTCATCTTACTAATATACATGCGAATGGATGGATGTTTGTTAGAAGGTATATTCAGAACGGCTTCATAGATCTTGAAATTTGACATAGATGTGGAACATAGTATGGAAGAACACATAGGCTACTGATTTTTTTTATTCTGCGCGGACGGAAACACAGGCGACAGCTAGTTTTATTATAATTAAAATGTTGTTATTTTCAGCAATAATTAGAGGCAATAAATATTCCAACATGTTTGCCAAAAAAAAAATAGATTTTACATATAGTTTTTCTAATGTATATGTAAAATCTAGTGTAAATAACCGTGTAAGAAAATGTTAGTGCAACTAACCGTGGGTTTCCGAAACCAAAATTCCAGTTTAAACCATATTGTTACCTTTGTTTATTCAAAGATGAAAAACAAGCACAACAATATTTTATATTGATATTTTGGTCTCCAAAACCAACGATAGATGGCGTTGTTGTCAATCCACAATTGCATATTGTCAAAACCATAAAAATCACAAGTTTTTAGGTTATTTTTTTCTTATATTTATATATCTTACCTTATAGATAACACGCTAAGTGTAGATAGAACAGTCTCGGCTTGTGTGTGTCCGTCATCATCAGAACTGTTATCATGTTCTTGTTGTGCATTGAACTTAGCCAATGTCTTCAGAGTTAGTTTATTATCTTTACCCAGCGTGTCTTTTGGAATGCCAGTTTTTGCGTTTATTGCTATTTTCTTGGGTTTCTGTAAAAAAAAAACAAAATTCATTATGAAATTTCTTTAAATAATTTCAAAATGGTTTTTAATCATACATTGAATACAAAACTTAATTTGTATGTATGCTAACCTAGTTGTCGCCTGCGACTCCGTCCGCGGAATTTAAAAAACCTAATAAGTAGCTTATGTGTCCTTCCAGACTATATTCTAATTCTAAGCAAGATGCAGACGCTCTGGAGATGACTTCAAATAAATATCCATCCATCCAAACATTCGCATTTATAATATTAGTAAGATTGTCGTGTCACAATGCTAGTTACCTCCTCGGAAACGACTTGAGAGATTTTTATAAAATTTAATATACATATTCAGTAGCTCTGAGAATCGAATATTATCTATTTTTTCCGGACATAGTCACGGGCGTTAGTTAGTAAATTAATAATATACTAAACCTAAAATACCTTGGGTTCCTCAATCAGTTTAGGATGATTATACAAATTGGAGTAAGTGGACAGTATGGTCTCGCAGTCCCATCTCTCTTTAGGCTCCACTTCCACTGTCATCATCTCCTCTTCCGACTCTTCTTCTATCTCTTGTAGACGTTGCAATCTAGTTAAATATATATTATTAAACAAACAGATTAATAAAACTTAACAAGTAGCCTATGTGTTCTTCCTGACTATGTTCTACATGTAAGCAATCGCTCTGGAGATACCTTCTAACAAACATCCATCCATCCATCCATACATTCATATCCAAATATTAGTAAATATATATTGACATTAATATAAATTAAATGTCTTATATGTTTAACAAATATCTTACTAATATTATAAATGCGAATGTTTAGATGGATGTTTGTTTGAATGTATCTCCAGTACGGATGGATGGATCTCGATGAAATTTGGCATAGATGTAGAACATAGTCTGGAAGAATACATTATTATACATCTGGATTTTATTTAATTTCGCATGGACGGAGTCGCGGGCGACAGCTAGTAAATATAAATGTACAAATTGAAAAATTAATAAATAAAAAAATAATAACTAATTATTTACCTTGCAATTTCCTTTTCTTTATCCAGCTTGTATCTCCTCTGCGACTCCTCGAACTCCTCAGCAGCTCTGAGCAGCATGTCATGCGAGTGCGGCAGGAAGCCATCTATATCTTCCAGATCCAAAGCTCCCAGTTCCGTATCATCGTATTCCGCAAACATCTTAAATATGTAATTTTCTTTAATCAATCTTACTAACATTATACATGTTTGGATGTATGGATGAGTGGTTGTATGTTTGTTATAACATCATAACAAATTAAGCTTAGATATAGAACATAGTTTGGATGAATATTACTAATTGTGAATAGGTTACTAATAAAAAAATTTAAGTAAAAAATACAATGTCAAACAAACAAGCAGACACTTGAATTCGTCAATTACACCGCAGATTATTTGCAGATGTATCTTAAATCAACAGGGGAGGGGACACACTGGAATAGGATATCCCCTGCCCACGCACCCCTTTCACCTTCCCATTAGATTTAATACAAGTATATAAACAAACTTACTTTTTCGAACCTATTGTCCAATAAAGAAAGGCCTTCGTTACGTCGTATGACACTAGATGACATAGAATACTGTGAGAAACGCGACTTAGTATCATCCTTGTCGCGGTCCATCCATGACGGCATTTTAGGTCTCCCTCTTTCTTCATCCTGAAAATTAAAAAAAAAATTAAACTAAGTGATACATTCTGTTTATTGGTGGACTTAACACGTGGGAATGAAATTTCAAGGCCGCGTCACGATTAGTAACATTTCGTAACATGAAAGAGACAAAAGATATAAAAATGAGGTGGAGTAAAAGAGACACAATGTGTAAAAATAATAATTTATAATTATACATACCTGTGAGTCATCATCTGAATCAAGGTCACTTGCAAATGCTTTGTCAGAATCTTCATCACCAGACATGCTTTCATCCTCTTCATCATAATCCTCATCACCTATTTAAAAATAAACATATTAGAACATTTAGTCATATATTTATAATTAATGTTAATTTGTTTAAAAAAAAAAAGCTTAAAGTACTGGCTGTATTTAAAAAAAGAAAATTGGTAGTTACTGGTAGCACTATAATATTCAATTATGAAAAAAATTACCTTCTCCCATAGCCATTTCAATAAAGTTATCTTCCAGCTCATTGTCAGGGTCTTCAAAGTCAAAGTCATCGTCCAAGGCTGCTACCACCTCCGGGTCCAGGTCCAAGCACAGACCTGATGATATAAAAGATTATAAAAAAATATTCAATAGAAAACATTTGGCAGAACATTGGATGCTAAGAGAGTTGCTACTATGATGAAGTATGTAAATAGGCATAGAAAATGACAAAAAAAACTTGATTACAACTATGACAAGGATTTATTGACAAGTTTTTCACATCTACAGAGGGGCGCTAGTGAGCTATCATAATAGTTTGACTTATGCTTACCAGGTAAGAAAAGTTTGTATGTTTATTTACATTTCTTTTTATTATAAGCTGGCAAATAAAAAAGCAGCCACCCGAATCTACAGAAATGGCTAAGTAAGTACTGCCTATAAACATTTATAATTTCAAATGAATTGCCTGATGCCTAATGATGCAAGAGAAGACGCACAGAAAGAAAACATTTCCCCTTCCTATGCATCACCTCTTCCATCAAATATACTTCCACTTCTGGCGGGAAGGGAAACGAGACTAAAATTAGGTTATCAAATATATAACAATTGTAATAACAATAGCAAAATCTCATTACTTGATTGAATGTGAATGGTAGATGTTGACAAAAACTATGGAAGAACGGATGGATGAATGAATGGTGTGATTGTGTGAAAGAGAAAGGAATTAATTCCTTTAAGTCCTCTCCTCCATCAAATCCACTTTCCCTTTTCATCCTTTTTGTATAATATATAAATAAAGGGTGGGACAGGAATAAGGACTAAGGCCTCCTAAACACTTTGAAGTGTTGTGCACCTGCTAAGTATTATTTACCTTGTGTAGCAGCTTTATTTAACATTCCCACATCTTCTTCAATTTCTGAGGCAAA